TAGAAGTAATTGTGCGTCTGTGTTACTCGCCCGCACTGAAAATACTGAGCTTTTTCATAATTGTATGTATTTTAGAGGCAGTCGAATTTTCATTACAATGTGTATAATGTTTTATATTTCTTTGTTCGTTTCTTACATTGGAGCTTTTGTTATACGTCTACAAATTAATCTTTTAAAAATTATTTAAAACGTATTAGAAATAAATATGAAATAAAGATCGCTGCTCGGGAATCGTCCGCTCCCAATTTACGCATGTAAATGTTACGAAAGTTAAAATGTGTATATTTTATTGTATTGCATATTTTATTCTATGATTTATTATTTACGTCGTTTTATATTAAATTGCCTTTGTATTCAATATGAAAACGAATAGATTGAATTGGCCTTATTTTACGTGGCGGGACGATTTACGATTTACGAATAGATCGCTCAATCTTGTTTGTTGTAATCGATTGTTGAAACGCCGAGCAGATAACACGATAATGGTAGTTGCGGATTGCGGAAATAAAAACGAAAAATAATATTTGTAAAATATTAAAACACCATATTGTTTAATAATTATTATACATTTTTCGATCTATTTCTTTTCCAACGCCATCATAATCACATTATTTATTATCTTTTAAATATTTTAATTAATTCCAATGGCTTTTACAAAAATAATTCTGAGAGAAATTGTGGTTTATAAAGTATTACAAATCACTACTAATGGCGAAAAAGTACGTGCTGTTTTAGCATTAGTTGGTAGCAAGTTTTTGTCAATCGTGTTCTCTTGAATTTTAATAATTTTACATAAAATGAAAATGACGACCCCCGGCGCCAGTGTATAACCCAATTATTACGGATCGCGCCGCGCGATCTGACAACAAGAGCCGCCTACGACATTCGATTCAGGAATGTGGAAGTGATGGAATGAACATGGGCTGGGGTGAGTGGGAGTCTTGGAAGACCTAAAACTGATTTACTTCATCTACAGAAACTTGCGGGACCGAGTTCTTAGTCACTGCCATGGGATTATCGAACAAAGGGATGATTAAATAAAGTCAAAATATTAGTGACAAAGTTGTGTTCGGCTTTTTTAATACAAAAGCAACTCAAAATATTACGTTACCCATAATACCGAATTAATTTTTATCAAATATATCAAAACCATTTGATTACTTATAACTTAGACATTTTTAATTGGACACCAATACTAATATAATATATTTTAGGGCAATAGACTTATTATTATGCGTAGTCTTATTATTATTATTATTATTATTATTATTATTATTATTATTATTAGTAGTAGTAGTAGTAGTAGTAGTAGTAGTAGTAGTAGTAGTAGTAGTAGTAGTAGTAGTAGTAGTAGTAGGAGGAGGAGGAGGAGGAGGAGGAGGAGGAGGAGTACTAGTTCGAGAATGAGGGAGGAGAAGCCAGCAAATGAGGCGAGTCTTACCAGCAAATTACGCTGTCTTCTCACAAGTAGGAGTGTACCATGGTTCAGCAACCAACAAGAAATTACCGTTGCAATGTTGAGACACAGCATCACAAAAACAAGATCCGTTCCAATTTAAGATTCGTCGGCGTAGGTTGCAATCTTAGTAATTATTAAACACTCACCTTTGCCTCAAGCGAAACCCTATTACGCATAAATAATTACACTTTTTATGTGATTTATAAATCTCAAGCTTACTGAATTATACAAGATACCAAATATACAATTATAGAAGATGATGTATCCAAGGCAATAATGCACCGCTACAAGGTTTCACACAAATTACTGGATCAATTTTGTAATTCGTACATTATATGGGTTCATTCGGTACGACCCAGAAAATAAGGTCCAATACGCCTCTAGTACTGACCACTGTTCTGGGAAAACGACTAAGGTTTGATCATGAAGAGCAAAAACCAAAGGCAAAATTTCCATACTGCACGATAGCGCAACAATCCCTTCAATATAAAAATTGAATGCTATTAGTCTACATTTTTTTAACTCCCTACAAAAAGTTACAAATTGCAGTATTTTTTTTAATAAATCACCGATGACAAATACACGTGGTTTACTTATTAACTCACAGAATAGATTGGAAGGATTTTTTTTATCTACTTTTCTTACTGCCCATATTAAACCATCTTTTCCACTAGGCCAAAACGAAATCGGCAAAAGGAGTACCTTTAGACCTGTATTTTCACGAGTCAAGAGTGGATCGGTGCCTACCTGGGAAGTCCTCAGGAAGGGACGGCGAGGAGTGGGTGTCTTGGAGGGAAATGTGAGAGCAGCTGGTCGAAAGGGCGGAATGCGACCGGCTCGCCGACGCCAGACGCCACCTCGTCCGCCCCAGCGCTGAAATTCAAACCCCCCCTTCAATGTCCCCTTCTGCTCGCCCGACACACAGTCCGCATTTCGGAGTTGGCGCCTATTCCTTGCGACTAGCAAGGTGGAGTGGAACAATGCGCTGCATCTGAGTAGGAATTGTTTCGTACAATTGTATGTCTTGAAAAGATGGTTCGTGAATCATCACGTAACACTTTATTTCTCCGACATTACCAAGAGTTCAAAAATTTACATGTAGCGCTAGCAAATAATAATAAAAAAACTTGACAGATTCTGTAGTGTTACTAGAAGTATGGAAGGAGAAATCACACCATTTTAGTTGATTTCGATTAAACTTCGAATTATATTTGTTATGTCTGAATTTTTAAAATTTCAAATTTATCGTTTCCTCTAGTTAAATACTCTTTCCTCCAGTTAATACTGTTAAATACTCTCGAGCCATAACTAACATGGACGAATCAGTGGCAAATCAACATTTGTTCAAAGTATTCCAAGAGACCAATCAAGTTCTATTACATCTTCATTTTATACTTCGATTTTCTTTAAGTGGCCAGTGACATTAGGTCATTGTTACACCACCTCTCTTGTAAAATGAAACCTTTTAACAGTGGTAAGCACATTTTCGAGGCCACGAGACTGAGAAGGACGTACGGGAATTAATTATAAAGATTCAGTTTATAAGGCAGGTGGAGCAACAACGACCTAATGCCATCGGCCACTTAAAAAATTTAAGTAAAAATTTCGTATTCACGCACAACAAAAATTCCAATCTTCCTCAATTCAGGAAACTATGTTAGTATGCCACATGCATTTGCTAATCGATCTAAAGAAATGTTAGAAATTTAACACACTATTCAGTTCCTCTCAATTCTGGGATAAAGTACAGTTTTAAAAACAATTATCCCGAATCCTTAGTTTGCATTTTGAATGTTTGGCTTCTATTATATTATTTGTATTTTTGCTAGGATCCGAGTAAAAATTGGAAGGTATTTCTTGACTAAAAGCCAGAATATTAGTGTGAATACTGGTTATTGCTGACCCGTGTGTTTCGAAGAGATGGAATAGAAACAACACTGAATTAGCTCTTTCTATGGACAAAACTGACAATGTCATCGGAGATAATTCGAGAAGCCTTGAAATTCACTTGAATGACGTTACTACAGAATGAGTCGCATAGCATTAGCCCTCTGAATATAAATATCGTATTAAAGAATGACGCTTTTGTACTTTAATTTTACGAAATGTTTTCTTAAAAACAACTCGTCCTATAGGTAAAGAGCGATTTAGGAACGACAAAACGAAAAATCTAACAAGCATATTACCAACAGAATCATTATACTATTATTTTCAGGTTTTAAATAGTTTGCCCAATAAACATAATAACTAGTGAGGTTGAAACGCGAACAACAAAGAACATTTCAAAAGAAATTATGAATCTTTTACCACAGATTTTCATTGTCAATGATAGAAAAAAGGAACTGCATCAAGCCCAAATAACTAGGACGAATATATCTTATTAATGACTTTAAGTGACAGCTTGAAAACTTGTGTAACGTAAATAGCCGTTTATCCTTTATTTCCTTTTTCAGAAAATCTCAAAAAATATATATTTCCCTTCATTTCTGAGATACTTAATTTTTTAATGTATTTATAAAGGTAAACTAATTGGAAAGAATTTCATAACAAAAAACCTTGAAAATGTACACAATTTTAAAGAGATGAAATTAGTGCAATTCTTATACTCTTAATTTAGGAAGTAATTTTTAACACACTGTGGCCAATAACAAAATATTTTAATACATCAAATATATAAAAGTCAAGGTTTGTTTGTATTTTTTTCAGATGTACAATTCATCCCATTGCCATAAAACTTAGTTAACTTATTGTTTGCACTTGCGCAATGAAATAGGCGTAGTACAATGGGAATGTGCGTATGTCTGTTGCATACAACGCGTGTTGATGATGACTTAATGCGTTTATGTTTACTCAAGCGCCCGTGAACAGAAGCTCTACGCAACCCGCCGCACCCTCAAGTATTAAGCGCGTCTTCGCTGCATATGCTAACCCTGCGATTGTGAAATATCGTCCGGAATTATTTCTTGAACGTTATCTCGGCCAAGTAAATAAAATTTCTTCGAGACAGTGTCGTGGCAAATGCATGCCCAAACTTGAGGGAGAACGTTTTTACAATAGGATAATTAATAATCATGTTTAACAACCATATTTAACTACCAGTCCATAGAAAAACCCTTCTCGCGAGAAAGTCTTTCATCCATTAAATTTGTTTCCGAGTATAACATAAAACGTGATTAACAAGCACGTAATCAGTAACGTGTGAAGTGTAATACATTGCAATAGCGATTAAGTTAACATTTTGTTTCTCACAACACAATAAAAGAATAAACATGACAGACATGCCATAATTATTTGTATTTTTGTTGTTCCTTGAAAAACGAATGTAACATAACCTCTAAAACTTACGTATTGTACTATGCATTGCCGCCTTCACTATACTATTATACTATTAATGATATTTTACCCACGTATTTTCCATACGCAAATGAAGTGTCAAATAGAGCTATACAACATTCTCCCCCCTCATCCCAAATGGTCATCAACAATATTCAGAAATTTTGAAACACTCACAAAAGTAATAACTAATTATGATGTAACTCACCTTGCAACATAGAACGGTAGGCAGTGTCTGTAATAGCAAAGACGTGTGGAGGCACTTCGTGTCGTTTGATGCCCTTGTATCGCTCCATGATCTTTTCTGTGTAGATGGGAAGACGCTTGTAAGGGTTTACAACCACGCAAAACAACCCCGAGTACGTCTGAAAAGCAAACAAAAAGAAACATGAAAATGTGTACCTTCCCAGGCAGTCATACTATTAAAAAGACAAAAATAGTTACAGCCAACAATATAATTATAAATCAACAAATTGGCTTAATAGCGCTTCCATCATTTCTTCTACGAGAAAGTATTTACGAGAAGCATACTGGGTAGTTATTTTTCAGTAAAAGCTGGCAATAAATTTGAATATACAGCTATAGATCTTAAGTGTCTCAAAATGCTACTATGACAAGCGTAAAAAAGTTCCACGAGTACGTTGTTTAGACCCCCCCCTTTTCCTATTCGTGAGCAGTGCGTTTCGAACAATCGATATTTACTTAGATAAAAATAAATAAAAATAACAACAGCAACAACTTTACAATCGAATAAAATGCAACATGTTGAAACTTTTCTGATAGTTAAACCTATGAGAGAAACGCAAGCGGCTGTCTACACACAGTGCGAGCAGAACAAGAATTAATTTGGAACGAAACGAAATATTCAATTTCTGGCTGCTCAAGAATCCAGTATTTTAGAAGTATATGTTTAAAATATAATACATTTTTTTGCTAATTTTTCTCGGTAAAAGTTACCTTAACATGAATATGGGATATACTTTACTATGGATTGTTTTGCACGAGAAGTACATGTTCTTTTTGGTATTATTATAAAGTATCAAAACTTTGTTTACCCATGCAAAATGTTTGAAAGCTATTTTATGAACTTTGACAAATCATTAATGATATTCTATTTTGGTAAACCTAAATATACACGAATACAGGAATAAGAACTTGCTCGCTTCTTCTCTTACGTAGTTTAGATAATTAAAGATACCAGGAAATTCTCTTATCACCTCTAATTGCCCTCCTTATCATTCGACACGCCTCGCTTCAAAAACGTGTATTTACCGTCCCCTTTCTGCGGAGTAATCCGAGAAAGACTCTCAAAGGCTCCCGCGTTCGGACATCAATCTTTTGGGCATTAACACGCCAATTAAAGTGGCCCACGCCCTTTCTTGTTCTCCGGTCCCCCTGGGAGGGCAGCCTTCAGAGTCTTGCTTCCGCCTGCGCGAGGGAAGCGAGCTCTTCCGGAGTGAGGGGCGGCGCAGGGGGAAGGCACAAGAGGCGAGGGGCAGTCCGTACGAGACGGGATACCAAGTGCGCGAGGGGCGTTGCTCAGCAATTCCTCTTTCATCAGCGATTCTCAATATTGTGAATTGCGTGGAAGTAAAGAGGACGCGGGGAGAGCGCTACTTGTTCTACGAAGCTAATCAGCAACATTCTTTTCAGAGAAAATTCTAAATAAAATAATTTTTTGGGTATTATCTTTTTATTTTGTACAAGATGAAGTTGCCAGAGTATTTATCATATTTTATTAGGCAGAATGAGGAATTCCATGTATTTCCGCCCTACGCCTACATTTTATTGTATCGTCGCTCCACTCCGCATTGCCCCGCCTCTCTCCCTACCTAGCACCTATCTGCTCGGCTACATTATGTTTCTTCTCATTTCCTGGATTACTTCTTGTTTATTTGAAATGCTGTGTACCTTCCATATACCAATATTAAAAGTTAATTTTCTTTGCGAACGTCGTTTACCTTTAGATATATCCGAAGCATTCACATGACACACTTTTAGTGCTGTGTTGTTTTACGTGTGCAGGCTGCTGGTGCTAATGCCTGGTCTTCCTCACTCACGGACTCACAAAAATCTTTCTGCGGTTCTCGCCCTCAAACTTCACACACTTTATAATAATAATAATAATAATAATAATAATAATAATAATAATAATAATAATAATAGTAATAAACTTATATTAACTAAAAATTAATTTTAAACATTTACCAACACCTTCAATCAATTGCCACAATTCTCTTCTCATGTATTTATAAAGAAAGATTTGAAAGTGACCTTTAACGCCGCGTCCAGGCAATTGTGCCATTAAGCAATTAGATAATTATATTACCTCAAAAAATCCGAGATTTCAGCGGATTCCGGCTTGGCAAACGATTTTACTATTATCCATACATCGTTTGTTCTCTTTTCATCCACCTTGAAAAACGCTTTTAATTCCTTCAAAAACCCATTTCGCGTTACTCTTTTACTTCACGCCTGTCCCTTTCACACGTCTTGCTGAATCATAAATTGCTTGCTCTCATAAATTAAAAAAAAAATCTCTAATACCCGAAGGTATACTTCAACTCTCCACTGCAATAAAACCCTTCCTTACCCTAAACAAAATTTGAAAAATAACGACAAAAATCTGTCACAATTTCAGAATAACTAGTAAATTATTCATTATAATCACTTCCACTAGTGTAACTCGCAAATATACAATAATCATGCTCGATTTACTACAACTAAATCAATAACTATTTCATGCAGAACGCATGTGTGTATTCATACCTTTTTTCGACAATCTCAAGCACATCCTTTCGCAGAATGACTTTTTGCCAATAACTTTATGACTCGTTTATACTTAATACATTCACGCCTAGATGCCATCAAAATCAACATTCAAATTACTTTTATAAATAGAGTGAAATCATAAATATGAACACTTTGGTTTAGACGCTTAATGTAAAATAAACAATCTTCTCCTATCCTACAGATGTGCATTTTGTGCATTGATGAACGCTACCTTAGATCTCAATTGTCACCCTCGAGTGGTGCGCAGCTAAACTATTGTATATTGATACACTCGTGAATCTGATATAATGATAGGCGAAAAAGCTTAGAAAAGTAATTATTTTGTATATATATTGAAGTTTATCATAGCATTTGGACTCCTGACCATCAAAGAAAGCTAGCACAAAAGTTTCATTCATATTGGCTGAGTAATTCCAGAGATGACTGCGCTGTATCTCAACGCACTTTGCTTATATATTAGTATCAAGATATATTATCGTGAACATCCCTGATCAATTTTGAAGTCGCAAGAGAGCGCCATAGAAAAAAGATACTGTAGTGTAGATTGACAGACCGATGGATTGATTAGTGTCTCCGGGCGCGACAACCGCTAAGGCCATTAATCCTGTAAGTGTAGTGTGTGATCTATCGCTGGCATGATCCGGCGTCGACCTACGCCGACTTGCGGGAATTTCCTCAACTACGTATCTTCCACAAGCGTAGCATTGCCCCAGCCCGGACAAACTCTAAGCTCCCGACACACATGGTCGAGCAGTATATTGAAGTGTAAGTAAGGGGTGGGGTGGAGGCAAGAAGAGGAAGGAAACATCGGACGCGGTCTGTGGTCCGTGTGTTAAGGCAGCTCCACAATTCGGCTTTCGCCGAGCAGCGAGCTATTGCCCGCCCAATCCCGAACAGCTGAATTCGGCGAATGTTCGCTCCCTTTGATGTGTTCTAAAGATCAACACGCGGTGGATAGGGCGAATACTGAATCTTCGGCGCTCTGCGAATAGTGAGCAACCCCTCCTACTTGAGATTCGGCGAGCGGTTGCTCGGGATTCGCCGAATGCCGCATGCGTGGTATTGATCGGGGAAACCATGGAAAACTACCTATCAGGGCAGCCGGCCGCTCTAATTCTCCTCCAGACAGCGGTTGAATTCAACCAAGCTGAAAAGCTAGTGTCGAAAATCCTGACACCATTGGGCCCCTCTGTCAGAGGCACTGCAGTTACATCAATTGATGCCTTGAGCCACCTTTGCTGGTGAATCTGCTGTAGAAAGATGCTGAAGAAAGCCTATGCTGTCATTTAGAAAGTGGAAAAGCAGTCCAGACACCATTTGGCAAATTTCCGCATTATATCTTGCCAGGATGAGTGCTGAAAAGCCCCAAACAAGTCAGTGCTCACCCGCAAAGAGATTCAGAGATAACGCGCGGGCGGTGCAAG